TCCCTCTTTTTGGATGTTGTCCACTATAGCGCAGCTCTTTCAGGTATCATCTTGGCAATTCTAATGTCTTCTTTCTCTCTACGGATTACTTAAGCGCGTATATGTATTGTTCCATCCTTTCAGAAGACGCCGTGCTCTTTGTTTTAGTGAAAAATGCTCATCTAACATACAACCACTGTGCTATCAGTATTCGAAAGTGAGCTTCATGACGTATATGGTATAAGCTGCTATTTTTATACCCACCCATTCCATACGATAACCATGTTAACAATCATTAACAAGTCAAAATTTACTTATATGTGCCTAAAACATAAAGGAAGATGCTGGTTCTACGATTAACTCTCGATAACTTTTGGACAACTAAGTCCTCGAGGAGTTGGAGACTTAACGGACTTGTAGGAAAGACTGCTATATCTCTCTGATTGCATGCATAATATAGCTTTTCTTAAGCGTTATTTTCACTCAAATCTTCAGAACATATAATTAAATCGGAATTTTAGTCTTAAAAAGCAAATGCGGCAGTAACAAACACCAACTATGTGCCCATGAAAACAAAATTTTACGATCACAGAGCAAGAGAACTTCCATTTTCTTCGTAAATATGTGCAGACAGTAATAATTTCTGATGAATTAAGAAAATAACCGCCAGCGGAAATGCTAGCCCAAAGTTGAAAAGCTGATTTGTTTCCAGGCACTTGGAAAGTTACAATGAACTGGTAGGATGGAATGTGAATGAAAGAAACTACAGCTCCTACTCTATTGACTCAAGAGATATTCTAGAAGAACAGCCACAACAACACAAAAAAGCAGCTGCTTTCTTGAGAGGTTATTATCGTCCCCGTCAGTAGAATGTTACGATGATACGAGTTAGAAACAAGACAATTTGTAAAGGAAAATTGATGAACACCTAACCTTCACAAAGCCATTCTTTCTGGCATCGGTGAGTATACAACTATTCCATAAGTACACGAATATATATCTCCAGAATGATTTACATTCATACAGCAGCAAAAACATTTCGCTAACCGTTGTAGTAAAATCGTCAACTAAAGTCGAGACACCTGCACACTCTACTCAGCAGCGGTGGTCTCTTTGGCACATGCTTTGTTCATCCGCAACACATTCTCACCGACAAAATAAACTTGTTCGAAAAACAATTTCTTGAGAATTGCTAAGTGTTGACAGCAAGTGTTCATGGCTTATGCCCACAGAAAGTATCTTTGCTGGATGATTTATCCACTGACACTGATGATAGTGATTAAATATGAAAAGTATACTAAAAATCCCTGTATAGTGAAATAAACGACCACAAGTAGAATGAAGTGGTACCAACTTATTTTGGTCCGTGTCTCCACATATGAGTGTAAATCCATTCACGTCGAACTCTAACTGTTAATTGCAATGGTTCCTCCACCATAATTAGTAATTCGCGCAAGGCAATTAGTAATTTCTCAGATACGATTAGATGAGATTCAAAAGAAAATTCTCAGCGTTAACAAATCTCGAATTATAGAGCGCTTGAAAGTTGAAATTAAAATTCGTAAACAGAAGTAATATTCGACGAAACTACAATAGTTTTCGTTAAAATTGACGAATTTTGGAAACTAACAGTGTAAAATTCAACAGTACTGCCTCTCTTTACATCGGCTGCTATGGCAATATCTGCTGTTGTACGACTGATGCAGATTGATCTGATGGCGAAAGAACATGACTGTTTAAGAACACGAATAAACATCAGTCTAAAATTGATAATCAAAACCACAATTTGCTGACAAAGAATGGGAAGGAAATCAAGATATCATACTTGTTAGAGTCCCAAACAATGACTTTTCCACTAGAGTCAGCACTGACAAGCACGCTAAATTCGTCACAAACTCCTATAGCGCTTATAGAGTGCGAATGACCAATCAAATGGAATCCTCTGCTTACTGATCTCACACTCTGTAATATGCATACCAAGCAAAAAACTAAACGACAACGAATGGAAAGTGAGGCGTCACTAACCTTATCATCGAAGTTGATTTGATAGGTGATAATGGCACCAGAATCACAACCGAGTATGATTAGATTATTTTTAGGCGAGAAGCCCATAGAAGAAATCTAAATATAAGTCACTTTAACACCACTTGCGTTCTCCACTATACATCTAAATCTTGAAAAGAAACGAACCTCAAATTCATCCAGATCAGCGATATTAAACCACGATGTGATTTTTGGCACACAAATACGCAACTGCAATGTTCGCCTCCGAACCGAAACGATTCCTATTGCAGTGACTCTTGTGCATTTCAGCGTTTCAGCTAGATTTAAAAAATTGTCCCTTTGTAATACATAACGGAAGACTTGAGCTTTAATTTTTGCGACTTCTTCACTGTGCCTGCACCCACACTAACTTTATTTTAAAACATCTATAGGACTCATTTGCGTTAAGGCACTGTACCTATTACGACCTCTATGGCGGTCATGTTCGTTCGCTGTGACGAACAACCAGCGGGCGGAGATAAATGAGCGGATAACTGCCACCTTGGCATTTCACAAATAGTCCTCCGTCAACGATGGGTAAATACAACGAATTCTAACCTCAAATTATTTAGAACAAATAATACTTTGTTTGAAATTTAAGCATATTTTGTTGCAAACTGTAATCAATGCAACGCATGAAATTTCACTACGGAATATTTCACGGAGTGCTTGTTCTAATATTATAAGAATGTTAGTTCATGCTATAACTTAAGCTCTTCGCCATCTCCACTATTAATTACGTACAGAAGGTTTGGCGCGAGCTATTATTGGAACTACAACTGTAATAGGAATATTGAGCAGGACCCGTGCTAATCTTCTCTGTACTGTATCAATTTCAGTATATGTTCAGGAATAAACATACGGGGACACTTGTAACGCAGTGTTTGTCTTGCAATACACATTGGTTCGATCCTGCGCCTCAAACCCACTAAGCCTTCCATCCCTCCCGCGTCGGCAGATTAGTACCAGTCTGGATGGACAGCAGCACTGACTCGATAGATCGGAAGGCCACCTCAAGTCAATGTGTAGACCAGATCTCCATTCAACCACCTCTAACGATGCTTGATGATGTCGAATGCACGGCGCATCTCTGAGGGATTGATCAAGGCCTAGTGCTTTATCCTTATTTTTCAATTGGAATGGTGTACTATGTTTGCCCTAATTTATCAGTTAAATTTATATACATATATACGTACATATATACATATACATGCATATGGCAGGATATATATATATATCCCAATAGTTTACCACCTTATCGTGGCTAGGAGGTGTTCTTGGATGTCGGGCTGCGATGTACAGCGGATGGTTCATATCCCCAGCAAGGCCTCCTAAGTTGAGAACGAGTTCGGCATTTCCATCAGGAAGCCTAGCCAAGAGCAAAACAATACCAAGATCCACCACCGTTCTGGTATCAAACTAGTCCCATGGTGGCAAATCTCTCTCCGACGCACAATGGCCGCCACTGCTTATGGTGGTGACGATCTGGCGCTGACTGTGGCTAGGCTGACTTCGGGACTCCAAGGAACCACAGTGGTTAAACCAGCAAAACTTCGAGAAAAAGGAAATTATCTAGGGGCCCGCAAAACCAGTGAGGGCGGACCAACCAAGTATATAAGCATATATATATGTATATATATGCATATATAATGTGTGTGTATGTGTATGCGTTTTATATATATTACATATGTAACATATTTATATATAAGGCATAAATATATATATATTTGTATGCCCATCCACGCTCAACGGAACGAATAGCACCGAATGCTTCAGTTATGTCTATCCAGGTCGGGAAATCAACATTACGAACAACTTAGCTCCAGAGTTGAGCAAAAGGAAACGAGCGGCTTCGGGAGCTTTCAAGAGCATCGAGGATGTAGGGAAGAGGACAAAGAACACCCAACTCCGTTCCCACATTTTCGACTCAAGGGTCCTTCCTGCCCTAACGCATGCGTCAGAAACTCGGTCGCTGCGTAAGCAGGATGAAAGATCATCCAGCGTTATTGAACACGCAGTCGAAAGGACGATGCTAGGAGCATGCCGTTTCACACAAGTAAGAGAAGGGCTCCGAAGCTCCGACCTGCGTCAGCGATCATAAATCAAAGATGCCGTTCTGTACGCCAAACAGTCGAAGATAAGGTGGGCTGCATGCGTATGAACGACAACCAATGGATAAGAGCCGTTAGTGATTGGATTCCTCGGGATGTCAAACGCACTACAGGAAGACCACCGACCCGATGGTTAGAGTTCTTACGAAAAGCCTAGAAGAGAGATACGATGATCAACGAGTCCCTAGAGCGAGCAGAACCCACTGGGGTACACTTGCGACAGGGAAAAATGGAAGATTTACTGGCACCCGCTCGAATCACTCGACGATCAAAGGGATTACAGGTGATATATATAAGTATATATATATATATATATATATATATTCAGTGTTAGCAATAACTTGTAATCTAGAGGCCGTGTAAAGATGCTTTTGTGTTAAATATGATAACATAAAGTAATATGTTGTATAATAATTTATAGAACTTTCTACTTGTTACTTAAAACAAAAAATCACACACTTATTTCTCTTCGATGAGTACTTTGAAAGACAACGAGGCAATGCAGTTGAACGCCAACAACCGAACCATCTGGCAGAGAAACAACGCGGAATGGTTGCCCCCGTGGTGGCGTCTAGAAGCAAAAGAAAGCTAATTTGGAACATAGAGTTTAGAAAGAAAGACAACAACCTCCAGTGAGAATACTACATTGATGAGATTATCACTTTGTAACGGATTACCAACGTAGTCTCCCCACCTGAAACTTCACAACACTCGACGAACAATTATTAGAGTCTAATCAATGAAATTATTCTTTGTATTGAAAACAGTTTGCTGCGTTGTAACAGCGTATTTTAGAATCGATAAACAAGGAAGTGAGCCGTGAGGCAAACCACCTCCACAAAGAGCCAAATTCTCGCTGCTTACGTATTAATTCATACTCCAAAAGTACACGGTATACCTTATCCCACGAACAGTCTCAATAGGTGCAGGATAAATTTCGCTCTCTTTACGAAACATGGAAAGGTGCGGTTGATGCGGTGCACGCAAAACCTGATAGAAGAGGGTAAAAACATCATGAAGAACAAAGACTTCTGAAAAAAAAAATAACCGATATACCTGCATTGGCATCTGACCATAGCTTCGCACCATTGTACTTAAAGCAGACTGAGAAAGTTCATCCACTAGCTCAATGCTATTCACAGTACTGGCATATGTCTGAAAAAAATTGGGTCCTTAGTATTGAAGCAGCTTTCTGCAAATGAAAATTCCATGCTTATTGAAGACTCTCTCAAAAATAATTACAGAGATGTTTAAAAAAAAACCGACTGGAATCCGTTTAGCAAGCGGTCTACGAGTTTTGGAGAAGAATCTACTATTTGCAATTAATCAACGCTAGTTATTCCATAACAAAACTTTTGAAAACAACGTTGCACCACATGCTGCTCCGCTACTGTCAACAACAGCGTTGAGTTTGATATTGAAATTGGGGCATCAGAATGGTACCAAGTACGAAGACAAAGACATTAGACATTATTTAAGAAGAATGCGTCAAATTTTAAAAAAATGAATCCACAATTACTTTCCAGATGAGCTATTAGTCCTATTTAAAGGATACATGAGCTACCATCCTAAATAGGATTGAGTACTTGAAGAAAACACGACCTTCTAAGTACTAGTTTGTGCACAATCAACTGAAAAATCATACACTTTACAAAACAACTGTGGCTTTGAACCTCGGTCTATGCATAGACTAACTAAACAAACATGTTTTAGAATGTTTCCATGACCAAATGTTGTTTGAAACGACAAATTACAAACCGATGGATGAAAGACATTGATGGCCTCTACAGCGTTTTTGCCAGTTTGCTTGAAACCAAACACCAAATCAATCCATAAATGAAGATTTTGGGTAACAATCGGAGATTCTAAAAAGAACCCAAGAATCAACATGAACGAGCTATGATAATGTCAAAACAAACCTAGAGCTTGTCTGTGGATTAAAATGAACAGTCTGGCATCATTATCGGGTACCCAATCAGGCAATTTCACATCGCCAACAACTTCACCCCCTTGACGTGTTCCCAGTTCGAACTTCTCGTGATTTCTTAGAAACTCCGATAACGAGAAAAACTCTGGCGTTAATTCCTGTAAACGACAAGAAAACATAAGTGTTTTATTACCAACTAGATAAAACATGGGAAAAACACAACTTTGAAGTCAGTTGTCGACTCAGAGCTCGAGAGACGCCATGCATCTTCGATAGAGTTGAAAATGCGGTCGGCAATATCAAAGCTGTTATCCTACAATATTATGCAAAAGAGGATAAAAGCGAATGCTTTACAGCGAATCCACATCATACTTCAATAGAAGAAGCTATGTGGAAAATTAAGAGCAGTTTGCTTACCTGGTATTTAATAGCCATTTCTGTATATGGGTACAAGCGTAGAAGATAGTACGTAACAATGCCAACATTGGAGTAGTGACTGCCGTAATGATATGGTGCGAAATGAATAGGAAAGGCGTCTGTATTGTTCTGGTTACATTCCATCTAAACAGAATTTGTTCATAGCAGAAAAGTATTCGTCGATAATAAGCTTTCTCTCTTCCTCAAACAATCCTAATGAAATGAAAACATTTCCGAAGCAAATCCATTAGTTGCAAGGAATTGAAAACAGTGCAAATTCTCAAAGTACCAAAAAATTTGTGCAGTCTTTCAAATGTTTGTGATTTTTTTTATCATAACAAGAGGACATATTAAAAGAAAACATAACATAAATTGGAGTCTTTACGAATAAACATTTCTTCTCCCAACGGCTAGAGAAATAGGCAAGACTAAAGGCAGAAGCCCAAACCTCTATTGATTTATAATTATTTATATAGTGCGCCTCCATTTTGCTGTCCTGAATAGCCATCGGTTTCCCCAGATCTCTTAACAAGACAATGATTACATGGGAAAAACCGACTTTTAAATCTGTTCTATAAACACCGTGGTCTTGTTTTTTATCAGAGCTACAAACCTAATGGTGGCAATATTTGGACATAACCAATATACTTAGAAGTTTCTACCGAAGTCATCAGAAATATTCACTTATTATATTCCCATCACAGAACAGGTTCACATACCTGAAAGAATCCTGAGATTGTAGATCCAAAACAGGAGAGGAATAATCAGCAAGAATAAACGGAAATACTGGGTACTGCATGAGGTCGTTGAACGACCTTCCAGACAGCGTATTTAGAATCATTATGTACCTATAAATATGTCTTAAAGCTAAAATTTGACGGCACACTTCAAATATTACTTTCTTGGTAACTTAGACATTACAAAGCACTGCGGAATAAGATATTTGTTCATTGGAACGATTACGTATCAAATGATAGCAGTAAAAAATGTAGTACCAAGACTCCACACTCTCCCACCAACCGGGATTCTCCTAGAGCCAGCGTTTCTCTCAGTATAGCCGCAAAAAGACGAGTGAAAGAAATTTTTGTAGGATTATGTCGACGAGTCTTCATATCAAAACGTTACACGTCTTACGATTGAATATTTTTATTTGATGGTATTAAATGCACCATTAAAAAAGATGTATTGATTATGCAGTAGGTTCGCAATGCATTTAAGTTCCAAATGAGCAAGAATTACTTGAAATCCAGTCGTTATGTCAATATTCTGCACATTATTAACGTTCCATACTTAGGAATTGGACATGAATGTCCTTCACAGCGAAATCAATTGCCAGTCCACAGCGAGGCAACCGTATGCGCCCCTAGGTGGCGGAAAGGGGTTTAATCGTGGACCAAAAGCGACCTTATGCCTCCCAGAGACGCAAGTGAATCCAGATGACAGACTCCATGTTTTTGTTGGGCTTACCTCATACAGACCTTCTGTATTGACGAAGATATATTCATGAATGCGTGCGTAGGTGTGTTCTCATTTAGGCGGATTACATTATAGCTGTTAATTCGACTAAAAGCCTGCAATCAAGTGACAGAAGAATATATGGGAGGCGGTTAGGAGTCGTCTCCAACAAATAAGCTCCATATCTACTCTGGAAAAGAGTGGCAAGCTACTCACGAGTATATCAAGCTCCTAACTCAGAGCTCTGCTAACTGTACGTGGGAAAGAAATGTTAGACACAGTGAAATAACTGGTCCTCAATCCCATAACACCGAAAGAACCCCGGATACGGTAGCATTGCGAAGAACGCAAACAGAAAAGCTGCTAAAATATAAGAGCCATTACAGTCTACCTAAATATCGAAAGACTAAGGTGAGAGTTATATCTACAATACACGCTCACTTGCATCTACATATTCGATAAAAGTCTTGATCCCGCAGGCAAGAAGGACAAGGTACAACGCCATCGGAGCGGCTGAAACAAGAAGACACCGCCTATTCAATGTCGTTTATGAAACCGCAGAACTATTCGGAACATGCGATAATAGACGAGTGGGCAGCGATGGCTTTCTCATCAACACGACTTTGTCCCTCAACTGCGATTCGTTCGAACAGTCAACAATCCGAACCGGACTTTTACAATTAAGAAGATGTGGATCAATGCCGACTTTGGCAATCTTCTTCGTCTACACCTCGACAATACGCTGATGACGAAGTAAAAGGGTTTTATACGGATTTGGTGAAGTTCCAAAGGAAAGACTATGCACTCTTTAACGTAATTATTGGAGACTTTATTGCCAATTTTCAGAAGCCCCACCCGTAACGTTGGACATGGCAATCCACCATTGGAGCATACTATAACGAAATCGACCACATTGGAGTAAATTGAAGGTTTGCCTAACCAATGTCGCTGTCGTCTAAACGTTTAACAAAGGATCAGACCATCACCCCCGTGCAGAAATCCAGTTCTTAGACAAAGGAAAAAAAATCGCTAAGCACAAAAAAGGAAGTCGGAAAACCACACAGACAGATTTATTCAGATCGTTAGTTGGCTTATGAGAAGATGCCATTATTTATAACAATAACAGAGAACACGAGTGCCTTATTCACCATCTTCACACTAGCGCTATGAAAGCTGAGTTCGAAAGTCACAAAGAGACTTCTGACTCTTGTGCTCTTCTCCGTGCTCATCTATTCGACAACGCTATTTTCTCTGCCCTTGACGTATGCGTCAGAAAGCTGGTAGGTACATAAGGAGGACGAAAAATCACTCAGTGGTATGGACCGCGGACGAAATAACGATGCTAGGATTATTTCGTATCACGCAAGTAAGGTATAAGAAATCTGAAGCTCCAACCTACGTCAAGGATCAAAAGTCAGAGACGACGTTCTATACGCCAAACTACCGAAGATAAGGTGGGCCTGACACGTAATGCGTATGAATGACAACCAATGGACAACAGCCGTGAGTGACTTGGTTCCTCGGTATGTTAAACGCACTGCAGGAAGACCACCGACCTGATGCTCAGAGTTCTTCATGGAAAAGCTTGAAGGAAGACACTCAACGAATCCGCAGAGCGAGCAGAACCCACTGGACTACTCTTACACGCGACAGAGAGAAGTGCAAGATTTACAGATACAGGTGATGCTCAGTAATGTATAAAATCCTTGGTACTGCTAAGATGTCAACCCAAGTGGTGAACTCTTTGAGACAATCTTAAGCGTTCACGTTAACTTCTGCCACGATGTTTCTTCTACATGTTTTCTAATACACAACGTCCATAGCATGGATAAGACATTGTAGTCGAAAAGTCTATTCATTATCGTGGTAATGAGGAACTTTTCCTAAAGTAGGCCTTTTAGTCTATTGGTAGCACTCTTATTGGAACAATTAGGACAAAAATGTTACGATACTGGGACGACTAAATGGACCGAGACCCACTCGAAATTAGTGATCACGTTGTGCCTCCAAGCACGCATACTTGTTTTGAACAGTTCCTCAACGTTACAAAACACATCCGAATGACCGAGCTGAGAAAGAAGCATCTTAAAGTCCTCTCGCTCCTAAAAACAAAAGCATTGAACAACTGAGCGAGGTAAATGATTTCACTAGAAAGCATTAAAAGAAGGAAATTCAACGGACTTTTTCATTCTTGAACACTATAATGTATGTGTCACCACTCTGAAGGAATATTTCCAGTGCGTTAGAATTCAGCATATTCTGCCTAGGAAAGACCTCAGCCACGTCTTCATAATCCCACTTTCTGATGGTTGAACAATCCGCTTCCACCTAAAAAATTAAACAGCAAGTTAAAGCAAATTTTACTACAAAGATCAAAGAGCATGATGCTGATAATCCTATCTAATTGTCTTGCTTAAGTTAAAAAACAATGAAATATATACCATTAGAATACGTGCCTCCGCTCTGTGATTTATCTTTTATTCACTTTTATCACTGGGTTTCATCATTTGCTTGCAGAACTTCTACCTTGGTAAAATTGACTTGTGCATTTGTCCAATCTCTGATAAATACACTACTGGTAAACTCCACGTCATGAAATAAACATCACCTTGTCGAACTCAAAAAAGTAACAAAAGAATGTGTAGGGGCATTTTGATGGGATTGATAAGCGCTATGCACTTCCTCCGAGTGATTTTAATAGGTACTAGTAAGATTTCCACTGGTCCCAACCACATCAGAAAGTGGCCTAATGAGCTATGTTCTCTCGAGGGACACGAAGACTACACCACATTTATCGAACAACGACTTCATTTTTATTATTGTGGAGAAAAGATATGTATGTCAAAGCTAATGAAGAGATTGGATATATTTATAGATAGCTTGTCGTGTTTCTCTGGAGTATACCTACCAATTGCTTATTAGAGGAAACATCTAAGCAGACCCCGTGTACTTTTTAGTTCCTTACTACGTATTTAAGTTTTCAAAAGACAGTTTGACGTTAAGATTCAAAAATCCTTCCTGAGTAGAAGAACAAATATTGCAATAACCGTGTCAAAGTAATTGTTTCCCAATTCACAGACGAGCGTGCTATTAATGACCCAGACATTATTACGAGAAGTTATTGGCCTGGAAGGAGATTTCTTACTGCAAAAGCTGAATCTCGTTTCCATTCCGAATATACTCATTAGAAAATGCTAGAAAAAAAAGTTCACATGTTCAGTTTGGCTTGAAAAATAATTGTGACGACGACAGATTACTACACTTAATTTTAGAACTATGGAGAATCTTCTGCGCCAAGGGTTTCAAGGGTTCTCAGACTCCCTTTGAAGTAAAACTAACTTTCGTTTATAAAACCAACGGAAATAGTAGTAATAACAAACAGAATAACGACAAACCAATTCGTTAAATTTCTCCAGAAAATAGATGGCTCCTTTGCCAACTAGAAGCTCTCCGTCGCATTCCATGGGGCCACGAAGTAACTTCACATCGAGATTGGTCAAAATGTGCTCGTCGATCACAGTACATTGAAGAGCATGTCGACCCGAGTGTGGGTTACTCTGTAACTTCAATAATACACGACCGATTGCAATAGATGGGATATAAATTTAGTCCACAATGAAGGGAATAGATGTTTAAGGTTACTTTATTATAATCAGTTCTAATTACATAAATTTCATATCCATGAACAGGTTCAAAACCTTTGATACTTGACACTTGAACAGCCCGTCCTCAATGGTTGTGTGGGCCACAGCATAATCACCATTTATCGGAGATTTGCTGGTTAAGCCATTGTTGTTCCCTGGAATCCAGAGGTCAGCCTGGCTAAAGTCTGTCCCAGGTCGTCACCGTCACCACCACGGGCAGTCGCAGCCCTTGTGGATCAGAGGGAGATTTGCCACCATGCGACTTTGATACGAGAACGATGGTATTCGTTCATAATAATGCGACAAAAATCCATATATAATGTCAAGTTTATTGCATTCGACGTAATAGTCAATTCCAACTGTCGGCTGCGTTGACTGCGTTCCACGGATGCAGAATACAAAAGAAGCAGATCATGAAAAAGTTCTGATGAGTCAGTCAACAAACGACAAAAGACAGAAACATGAACTCTACCTGAAATTCTGGTTCTGTACTATAGAGAAACGCTGGCAAGAATATTAATACAGCAAAAATGTTAATACAGTCATAACATAGCGAGCTTTTCAACAACTCCGATAGTTTTTAAAACATAGAATAGTGCGGGACAACCATAATGTTACTGAGATATTTACAGAACTCCGGACGGTAGGTACCTGCGGTGGCGAACAGCAACCACCCGTCAACGGCATTGATTTGGGGGGCACAAACCGGTAATGAACCCAGTTAAGCTGAGTCTGTAGTCGA